ATTGGAAATAGTTTGTGAGTTTAAAATTTTCAGTTATGTTAAAAAATATCGTTACCCATGACAAAGAAATAAGCTTTTTTTTATTCAGGGAAAGTACAACTGAACTTTTTCCAGACCCTTAAATGGTGAGTTACACCCTCATATTTGTTTACATTTTTGCTCATATAAAACAAAGCCATCAGCCTTTTAGAGCTGAACATGTCCGAGTGCCTCTGAAACTCTCTGATTAACACTTAAAAACCCCAAAAATAGACTACAGTGATGGTGACTATCTCTGTGTCTTTTGACAGTCCTAAGTCGCAATTACAGGGGAAACTTTTATCTCCATATTTAACATCTACCTTACGTTTTCATGTTGTCTTTATATTTTAATTCTGTGATATTAAGAATTATTATAAGGATAGTTGTTTATGTTCTATAAATCAAGATGCATTAAGATGAATCCAGACCCACAGGCCTACTCACAGTATAGTGGTATCCATCAGTCCTTTTAAAAACTAGTACAACAGCTCATTTTTTTAAGTCTCACTTTTTGTTGTTCTATTCACTCACGTGTGCATATGTTCAGACAACTGAGAAATCAGGACAACAGTGGATCAGACAAAAAAGCTTTGACCATGGTAAACACACATAATGTCCTTCCCTCAGCAAAACTGAGCCTGGAGCGGAAAAAAAAAAAAAGGCAACAAAGTTTAATCTGCTGGAATCGGAACAAGCCTTTAAAACCCCACTGATGTCCGCTGCACTAATCTTGGCATTGGTCAGTAAAAAAAATGCACAAAAGATCCGATCTGGATTTAAAACTCAGATCCTCCTTCTCGATTGACTTGGGGACCTGGTGTTTTTTCAGTGTTTGCAAACAATTATTTTCCGCACGGAATACAATCGGGGTTACGTAACGTTCCCCCCATGTGGAGTCACATTAATGCATGTACAGCATAGGATGTCTTTCAGTTTGCTCCGCGGCACCTCGCTCCTGTGATGTAACGTTTTTCTGTCCGCTGCAGAGGGAATGGGTTTTGTAATAACAGGAAGCCGATACCCCGTGATGCCGTGAGTCAACGGACCGGTCATATGGCAGAAGCAGAGGACTCTGGGAGACGAGCTGCTTCCACGTTTGTGCTGGGCTTTGTCAGCACGGGTTGAGATGAGAAAACACTTAAAAAACAGAAGGAGGAAGAAGGAAATCTCCAGGAATTCAGAATTTAAGCTGCGCCTCAGATAACAATTCACATCATGAGAAAGACGTAGATTAGAACAGAAAATCAATCGCTACAACCTCAGAGTCGCTTTCACAGCAGAAATGTAGTCAAAGTTCTATGCAGTGTTATCAAAAACTCTCCAGATAAAATATGGAGCCACTTGGACAGCACTATGGAATATTGGATCGTAAATCTACCTGCACGCACACACACCTTGGCACACGGGTCACGACCCTCTGCGTGATGCCTTGTTTGCAGATGCTGACAGTGAGGGTTTGGTGCTGGATGATGGATCAATCAAGACAGCACCTTTCATGAGTCTCATTATCTAAAGTGGTCAAAGAGCAGCCGGGGGGGGGAAGGGTCTTACAGGAGCTCCACTCTCCAGCCCACCGTGAAAGCCAGAGAAGAGATGTATGAAAAGGAAAAAAAAAGATGAACAGAAATGGTTCCCAGATAGACAGAGAGCTGTCAAGAATGAAAGCCGGTGCCTCCAGCATCTCGTCTGCTTTGCACTTCTTAACATTACAAAGATCTCGACACAGCACCTTAGCTTGCTAGCTTAGAAGCATTATGAAGCTCAAATTACAAGAAAAATGTGGGGCTACGTTAAGGTTTATCATGTTTCTGTCTTTCTGCTCAGATTTTCAAAAGAGGCCCCTTATTTCTGTTTGGATTCATTGGATTTGTCATCACAGTGCACTTTCTGGTTACAAATGGTATTCCCATTGTGACTCCATCTACTACACAAAAGACACGAGAACAGACAAAATCCAAGAAAGCATCAGCGGAAGTTAGATTTCATGATCTGGAACACCAGCGAGGTTTGTCAACTGTAAATCCTGACTTCTTCATTCCATATAAAAAAAGGGACCATACAGGGACAAAGTACAGACTTTGAGCATTAATGACTTGCTTTGTGAGTTGTATAAAACATTAGTGAGTTATTTTTGTTTACAGAAAAGGAAGTACATCCTCGGCTTTCTTCTTCACACCCCTGCTTTGCCAAAAACAAAGATCAATGCGAAAGTTCTGGACTTTTTTATACAAACCATGCATCAAAAAATATAAAACAATGTTCAAATATACCTCAGGGAAACAAAATCTCTCAACTTTGCTCGCATACTCTATCAACAAGTAAGAATGTAGGTCCAGTTTTCTTTTCCCCTCCTTTTTTTCTTCCTTTTGACTTGGTTTGATTTAGGAAAATGAAGTCCGGACTGAACCACAGTATCTACCATTGAAGTCATTCTCAACTGCAGGGCATTTACATGCCAGAACAAGCCACAAGTTTTTGGTCAAAATAGCCAACAATGTAAATCCACTTCACAGTGCTGGGAAGGTTAAAGGTTTTCCAGTCTAACTTCTTTCATTGAACCATCTTGAACCATCTATCTTTCCTCTCCAGAATATATACTTTACTATTCTCAAAAGAGCACCACTGGCTCACCTTGACCTTTTGTTTTTGAGTAAAGCAGTTTCTGTCTGAGGGTGCTCTTTGCAAAATGTCAAATTTTAAGATCCCCCTGAATTACTCTGAATTTCAAAGGAATTGGTTGGTTTTGCTCCTTTTGCTTTTCTTCTGGTTTGATATAGATATCCTCAGCCCAATAATGTGATGTTCTGATGACAGCGAGTCTGGTTATTAGTGGATAATTTCACAGTCTCTCTCCTCTTTAACTACAATTGACCTCTTCAGATGGCGAAAGTGACTGTTAATGATTAGGAATGAGCCCGTTCAACAGACCCAGACTAAGAAGAGAGTAGACATTTTAAGGTATGAATAGGATAATTTTGATATTCTACCCCATTTAAATAGATGTCTGTTATGACACTGGTATGACAAGAAAAGCCCTTATGATGAGTCCTCTGATGGTCACAAAGCAAATGCAGGAGGGCCATGATTCAGAGGTCAGAAAAGGAAGTCCACTAAGGCTGGAAGTTGGCCTATTTTTCAAACAGAGAAGAAGTGCCCTAGGAGAAAAAAAGGAACCTGGGAATGAGTTCAGGTTCTTTCTGTGTGTATAATGTCAAAGATACCGTGCATAGTGTAATTACAGTTTAGCTGCTGTGTGGAAACTGAGAGGTTGTTATCCTTTGCCAAAATGATTTTGCATAAGACTTTTTGAGATGTGCAGATCATTGTCTTGACACTTTCCTCCTTTAGTTTATTCTAAGTCTTATATGATATGGTGGTATACTTAGATACTATGTCAAATTGAGAGAGACCTTTGCACAAATCTAAAAGCATACATAAGTTGGCAATTGCAGCGTTACAGTGCTGTCATGGCTTTTGAAACCTGTCCATTGGTGATCGTGGAAAAATCATCATACGTGTGATACTGGACAAATGAGGACCACAGAAAGCACGTATTTTTAGATCTGTGACTACATGTTCTAGACTTTTGTGTGACTATAGAAGTCACACGACCTGTTCATATATACACACATGACTGCCAGGAGGAGGAAGTACACATCCAGCAGACGAAAAAGGGCAAAGTTACGAATATGGGAATTCCCATGGGAATTTAATCAGCTATTATTCATGTTGATTTGAGTCTTGTATGACAAGTTTGTGTGATTTGAACCCACAAGTTTTTTCTAAATGCATCGTGATTGTTTCAGTCCTGTCTTTTGTCAACATGCAGTGGAATATTTGCAGTTTTGTCGGGCTGTTTTGGATTTGTTTCGGCCTTCCGCCCTTTAAGGTGAAAACTTTGCTCTAAACCCTGTTGCACATAATCTGACACATTTGAAACCTGTATGCAGAAAACTATACAACAATAATTTTGACTAGGTAATGCAATAAAGAACATTTTTCCTTAATTCTTTCATGGATCTGGCTTTTAAGTGTGAAGATACTCTGTTAACCTTGAATCTGTGTACAGCAAGTTCTTTTACCATCAAGTGTATTTATTTTCAAGTGTAAAAAGTATATATTTTTTCTGTTATGTTTTGACTTGAAAGGTTAAGCCCAAAAAGGTTAAGGCCAAAAGTAGCCATTAATAATAGAGTTAGTTTAACATTTATGTGGAAGCCACATAAAGGTCAAGCCCACAGTCTCAGTGCATTCATTCATAAACTGACAGAAGCATTTCAACATTTATTTCTATTATAATTTAACATTAACCAGTGTGAAAAGTAAAATGTGTTCATTTTTTCATGTTTTTTTGTAAAAATCAGAAAGTGCCGGTGCATTCACGGTCAAACTGGGTCCATTTTGTCAGAAGCTGTCCTCCAGAAAGGGTGCTCATGTGGTGTCCATATAAATTATAAATGGGAACGGCCTACCATCCCCCAATGAGGACTTTTTTGTTTCTGATATGAAAGAATTGAGAATGTGGTCTGCTCATATGTGGAAAGAATCTCATGAGTAATATTTCCCCTCTGCTGTCTATTGCTTATAGTTGCTGACATTTGCACAAGAGGAATGGGCAAAAACTGTAACTGATTCAGAATTTCAACTTTAAAGACTCACTCTATAGTCTACACCACTTAAGTATCAAAGCCAAAGACTACATTCGATAGTATTTAGCAGATCAATATTCTTTCATATAGATGGTCCTCCACTGCATGTTCAAACAAAACATCCTTGACCTCAATGAACGAGAAACAAATTTAGAATAATACAAGAGCTATGTATCTTGTTCTGATCATTAGATACATTTTTAACAGAGATCAAGATATTTTTGAAGAACTGGATGCAGCAGTTCAGCCACGTAAGAGTGTTTTGAGCACATGTAACCAGACACCTACCATCACATGGGACTTCTGCTCGGGAAAAGTTATTGCTCTGCCCGAAAAACACTCCCTCCCCCCAAACCTGGAGCTCCCATTAAACTTCCTCAAAATGTAGCCAATATAAACTCACGCTGACAAACAGCAGCAGAGGAACAGACTTTTCGACTCAGAGAACGTCTCCAAAGAGCCTTGATTTTCTGAAGGTAAGTTTCTATCCTGCTGATTTTCTAGAGAGACGGTTTTCATTTTGATTCTTTCTTGTTCTTGAGCAGTTCAGAGTAGGTTTTAGGCATTCTGATGTCTCATGGTTTGTCTGAAAAACCAAACAGCAGGAGTTACTAAGACCAAAAGATTCAAGCGTCACTTCATTTCCAGGCTCTGATTTCCTAAAAAATACTATGTGCTTGACTTTAAATGTCTCTACTCACTCAGGGATAAATTAAAAAGTTTTAGGTTGTTTTTTTTTCTGCTAAGAAAGCAATTGGAGTTTATAAGATTAGGATTAAAGAAGGATTTTAACCCAGCTGCATAATGTGTTTTCTGGAAGTGATCAAGAGCTTCACACTAAGAGCCATTTTGAGCTCTGCTGATAAATGTACATTCAAGTTAAAAGGACAATAATCAATAAGTGCTTATCATTTAAAAGATTTTTTTAAAAATCACATGATAAAATTCCAAAAAATGTCTTTGAATTTGTTACGAATTCTTGTGAATCATCCAACTGCAGAGCAGCATGTGCATACTGTTTAATATTTGCACAACACTTTGATTCAAATAATGCGCTCTATTGATTTACCCAAAGGTGAAGTCGAGTCAGATGAAATCGATGTGAGTGGGAAGTAAAAGACCTAAACTGCACATTTAGACCATCCTCAAAACTAAATAAAGTTCCCTCCACTAAAAGCAGAAATTGAAGTCTCTGCCTTTGCAAGAAGCTGGCAAAAAACAGAGAGGGGAAGCGCACTGTAACATGACACCTGTGCATTTTTATGAGCTGCACATGGCATGAAAGCAAGAAAAGCGGATAGCTGCAAACCTGAGGAAAATACAGCAGGGCGGTGAATCTGATTTAGTGGGAAGTAAGAAAGTGTCCAAGTGGTCTGAGTGTTAAAGAAGAAACACAAACAAGGGTCTGTTTTCTTCTACTTTATTGATATGTTGAAACAGACTTAGTCATGGACATTTTAGCTCTAAAATAGGTCAACAGAGCTCTATGTGTCTGAGATCCAGATGCTGGTCTCATGTTACGATGAATCCCTTCAGATAGACAGAAGAGATTAAGAAAGATTGCAAAGTTATTATATGCTATGATTACTGATTTATATATCAGTTTTAGTAAATTAGAGATTAGATAAGGTAAAACGTCACAACAGCTTGATTTTAAGACATTTCAGTCCTCAAAGTGTGGAATAGACTTGTTGAATAACTATAGGTGTGCATTTCAGTGTGGGTTTGTTGTAGTGAAGTCATGTGTTTTGTTGTATTTATCTTCCAGGATGTTGCCGTTACTGTGCTTGTTGCTTGCTGCCTCAGTTATGGGGGAGCAGGATGACACTTCTCTGGATGTGCAGTGGAAACAGTGGAAGATCAAGCACGACAAACAGTACAACAGTGAGGTGAGTAACTGTGAGGATGTTAATTATGAAATCAGAGACAGCCACTCTTTAAAAACTCCTTTTCAAGCGAAAAAAGGCTGTTGGTTTTTCTGGTTATAGGAACAAAATGTACCCAAAAAGCAATTCATTTTAATCTGTGGTGAGCTATGTCCTTAAGGGGGAAGAATGTGTTCATGGGATGCCAATATGCTTCACATTGGGTTAGGGCTAGGGTTAGTAATACCCACATTTGCACTGTGTTTGAAATTACCAGAGAATTATGATAGCTTTCCTGGGATTTATTGGTCAGGACAAAGGATTTGGATTTTTTAAATTTTATTTCCAAAAACAATGCAAAAGCATTTTTTGAAGGCAGGAAAAATTAGCTATTCAAACCATCTTGGTAATCGGGGAGAAAGTCTTCATTATGTTTGGGCATCAAGCAACTACGCTACTGAAATATTGATATTGTATATTGAACAGTGATTGAATATCTTGAAATGTAGCTGTATCCGTTTTGTTCAGTGGTTGAGTTGTTTTCATCAAAAATCGCAAATAGTGAAAAAACTAAACCAAAGCCTATAGGTCCTGTAGGTGTTAAAGCTGGGGGAGAGTCAAGTTTTTTTAAAACCTGTACATTGAAAATTGTCCCCCTCACTTTATATATTCATTAGATCCATATTTGATAACATATGCACTGTTTAATCCCGCTTACAATAACTTTAATGCCAGAATTGTCCTCATGACAATATGACCACTGGAAATCTGAAGCCAGCAGTTGTTGCTCTACTTTTATGTTTTGGCCCGCAGTGGTGATGAAACAGATGGAGAGAAAAAGTAAAGCAGGACATGCACAATGAGAATTGACTTTTTTTTTTTTTTGTCTTTCATCTTTACGAAGCAATACCTAAAAGTAAACTTCCAAAACACTCTCAGTTCCATAGTTTACTGCGAGTTTAGTTTGATTTTCTTCACATTCATTTCAGTCAATGATTTTCAGCCACTGGCTGTATGATTAAGAATGTGAGGGGGGAAGCTTTACCGGCATGTTCGCCATTTGTTTAGCTCTTAATTTAGGTCATGTTTCACTTTGATGCTCTGTCATTTGAACAAATCCCCAACAAAGGCGTTCCCAACTCTCTTCAGACGTGACTCAGAGTCCCCTGATACGGTAACACTGGCTGGCTATGCACATGGAAGGGGTAAAGAGTTTAGTATGTTTTAAAGCAGACCTGACTGAAAAAGTACCTCTCTAATGCTCACCGAGCATCTGTCAGCCCCCTCCGCTCTTCACCCCCGGCTTGAGGTCAGCACTCCACAGATGTAGAGTGTGCGCAATTGTGTCCGCACTCTATCTTTGCGTGTGTAGTTGCACAAATGGATGTGTGTACTGTAGTATGTCTACATGCCTTACATAGAAGTAAGCCTGCAGGTTTTATGTTGCTTTATTCGCCAGTTTTTGTAAATGCACGCAAATCCATACGTCTCTCTCTTGGGTAGATTTTCAATCAGCCTTCTTCAAACTATCCTCAGGTTATATCTACAACAGGGCTAAGTCATCTTGCAGTGCAATTGAGCTAAAACACTTTTATTTTTTTCAATTTGCCATGCATCCTGTTATTGTGTTTAGATTTGTTTGGTGTGGAAACACAACAATAGCCTAAAGTGGTCAAAGGTGGACACACTTTTTCTTTTGTGTGAGCTACCACAAGTGAGGACTCTCATATTAAATTGTCCTAAATAATAAAATGGGGCAATAACACAGACAAGCTTTTTTAAATGAGCTAATTATATTTTACATTTGCCCTGTTTGCTTAGATTTGTGTCAATCCGCTCAGGTCAGGTGTTCATCGGGACTATAAAGAATGACGGCCGATGATGTTTTTTCTTTCTTATGTGCTACTTCCTGTACAGCCAACTTGGGGCAGGAGAAATAAGACATCTTGCACATGCACAATGTATTGCTTTTAAAGCTGTGGAAATTTCTGCACAAGAAAATGAATGAAAAGAATGCAAACTGCATGTGGGTCAAACTCCGCCCCGCTGCTCGTATGGAGCAGCCTGACATGTTGGCTTTATGCTAGAGTCACTAAGTACAAAAGGGCTGCAGAGCCTGCAGCTGGAAGCTTTCCGTGTCACATAGATGGGGGACCATTCAATCTGGGAAAATATAAGTGGAGAGCAAATCTGCAACATCTGTTAGTGTGACTGAGCATCTGTTTGTTGGGTTCAATATTTCACTTTTAACTTAATTTTTTCCTTGTACGTTTTCGTCTGAATAGATTATTTCTGCATTTCCAAAACAAACAAAATGAACAGAAATGATGTTGATCCATCGACAAACAATATGCAGACACACTGAATTATGGTTCAGTTGTTGGAATGTTATGAGGAATGGTCAATAAGATATGGGCAATTCTTTACAGAACATTGAAGTCATTTATTATCAGAGTGACTGTTTTTGTTTTCCTGAACCTTGTCTGTAAGTTCATTTTAAATTCACTTCCAGGAACATGGAAAGGGTTTGTCCAGTCTTTATCTCAGAGCTGATATCAAGACTTGAAAACTCCTTTCTTTTTTTGCCTCAGGATGAAGAATTGATGCGCAGGGCCATCTGGGAGAAAACAAAAGTTATGGTTGAAACTCACAACAGGGAAGCAGCTATGGGCAAACATACCTTCATCATGGGCCTGAACCACTTCGCAGACATGGTGAGTCTGAGGCAGCCCAAAAAGCTCAACACCACATTTCAGTTTCATCAACATGCGCTTTTTGACGCCAAAATAGAGTGAAACCAAACCAATGTTATCTTCAGATTTACACCTTAACAGTTGTGTTATATGTTGATCACATTTAGTGCACTGGTCAGGGGATCATGTGTTAGTTTCTTGTTTTAATTTCCATTTTTAATTCCGTTTCAAATTATTCAGTCAAAAATCACAAAAATGTTATCAGTTTGAAAATATGATTCAAGCTAATTATAGTGAAGTGTATTGATTAATTCAGAAAGATTAAGTAAAGTCGAAATGATGTGCAAATTGCATCACTTGATGACAAGAATTAGATTGTTAAAACCTCATCCCCTGTCTTGCAGACGAATGAGGAATTCAATCTTAGAGGTGGTCTCCGTCCGATTGAAAGGCCTGAGAACACCCCCTCCCTTTTCCCAAGAGTCCCAATGTCCAGACTTCCCAGAGCTATCGACTACCGCAAGAAAAAAATGGTGACCCGGGTGAAGAATCAGGTAAGAAGAAAATATATTTACTCTTTAAATTATGTTTGTATTCGTGAACATTGTTTTGTTTCTGCAGAGGGTTTCCCACAATACAGCTCGGGTCAAAAGCTGAGTTTGTGAACTAGGTTTGGTTGCAAGACGAGACTAATAGACTAATTTAAGGATTAATAGATCATCTGTTATAGAAATAAAAAATAGTCAGTATCTCCCCGTCAAATCCAAGACCAGAACTGAGTCCAGTGTTTCAAGTGTCCCTACACTAGAAACATTCCTACTCTGCATCTTGCTCCTTACTTAAATCAAATTTGCCTGCTCTCTTAGTTTTCTACACCCATTCTCTCCTTCCCATGGCTGTTGTTTGTGGGCTGCACATACTGAAATCCCTCCGTCCCTCCGCACATTCCTCTACCCTTCCTACAGCTACACACAGCAACAGGATCTGTGTTATCACCCAAACTTCTCCCCCCACAGCCTCATCCGTCCGGCTCTTCTCTGTCTCATCTATTTCCAACTGGTGCTCTCTTTCCTTCCATCCCCGACACCCAAACATTGTCATCGTAACAACCTTTAACCCACAGCAGTTACGCCTGTTGATGCCACCCCTGAAGATGTTTGATTCCTTTTCTCAAGCATCATGTTTAATCGTCACTATCCATCTTTCATCCAGGTGCAACCCTCTATTCCCAAGGAAACATTCTCTATACTTACCAAAGCTTTCTATCATTCAAAGGAAACCGAAAGGAATCCTTCTATCTTTCTTTGTCAAGTCTCCATAGTTTGAAAAGCTTAACAAGACCAACTCTTGTCCCTTGTTCTTGAATTAATATTTTCAATATCCCTCTTCTGTTGCTCATCTCATTGTGAACCTGAGCATAGAACTATCAACTCTATCGAACTTCCTGAGATTCACTGAATTCGCACCTTCACACAAAACTTTCCACCATGACAGTTCACATATTCTTCAATATTTAAGCTCGAGTAAGTAAAACATGTCAACTTAGAGTCTCATTCCCCACCTACATTATCTATTGATACCCATTTCTCAGCACTTTTAAGCCACAAACTCAATTTGTCAGCAAAAAACTATTATATTTTCTTCACATTGTGACTCACTCGTTGAAAGGACAAAAAACAAAAAAACAAAAAAAACAGTCAGACAGGCATAACATTCAAGCTCAGCAAATATTTGTGCAAATTTATTGACATTTCTAGAAAATCTTCAGAATATTATTCAGTCTTTTCCTTCCATAGTCCCATTTACAGCCCATCAAGCATCAGCATGTTCATCCCAATTATTCAGATTTTGGCTGGTGGCGCCTCTAAAGCATGTCATGAACCTGTGATGTCATTACTAATAATCTGTTGAATTAGGTTAAGAAGGTGAATCAGGTATAAATTCAGCTCCTCTGCCTTGTTTTTGACACCTTTCTTTATTTCCCAGTGCCTTTGGGTCCCCATCTCTCGTTCACCACTTCCTGTTCCGCATCCTCCACATTCTTCCTATACAAAAAAAACATCCTTTCATCCAATCTTCCTTCCTCCCGCTTTTTTTTTTCCAGGTACCAGCTGGAGAGCCCTAAATCGGACCCTGAGATGGAATGCACACTGAGTTTTCTCCTCAGATACTAATGAGGAGAGAAGTCGTTCGTGACATCCGATAACCTTCATTTTCATCTACATCGTCTTTTTATATAACCAATACTCAGCATTAAAAAATAGTCACACTGCTGTGGTGTGGTTCTTGCTGGTGAATGAGCTTTATGGGATGGTAATCTGTCGGTGTAAAGGAGCCGGTCTGAGGCTACGCTCGGACCGCAGGCCTCAATGCCCAGTTCTGATTGGCTGATCTTATCTGCACTGTTTAGTTGGTCTGTGACTTCAGACAGGCGCGTCTGCATGCAAAGACTTTTAGAGAACTCTAATGGGGAGGTACAGAGAAGTCTAATGAACTCTGTTTTGACAAAAAGAAATCTGATCTGGGTCTGATTTCTGACCACAAACTCATGTGCGTGAAATCGGAATGGTCCAAATCCGATTTGGGCCGCATTTGTCTGATTATGGTCTTAAATGGAAATGAGTTACCCAACCTGTTTATTTGGTTAAACGTGAAACAGGGATATAAAAAATGGCATACAATTGTAAAAAATAGATGCTTCGATCATCTCAAATAAGGTATGAGTTGAAAGTTAAGACTGGGTGCATTTCAGGCCCAAATATATGTATTTTTCCTATATGTAAAGAACCATTTGAAAACCTTAACCTAACCAATCTGGAATTAGATTTGCTATAGTTTATGTTTGTTTGTCACTCTTTGCTTCCCCTGCCTGAGGTTGTCCTTACAGATTGGAGACAGAAGCCGGCAAAAATGTCACAAGGGGAGGTTGAGTAATAAGAAAAATGAGTGATTCGTCCAAAACGGTGTCATATGGAGTAGGAAACTAAGGTAATGCGCAGCAACACCATCAGGGCAGTTGGACGCCTGACCAGGTGTAAAAGAGGTTGTTGTATTCCATCACTTTTACACGCACAGCCGAGTCCAGCTGTGATTACGAGTCAACCTGGCCACTCAGCTGGACGGTAGGGTTAGGCCTTCCCATCGATCTGGATGGCTGTTCCTGGACTGACCGTGTGAGTAAACCTTAGAGATATTCTGTGTGGGAGGTCTCTGCACATACAGACAAATAAATATAGATAAAGTAAACAGAAACAGAGTATTTGAATTTTGTCAGTTGACTTTTAATCATGGAAGTTAGTAATACGTTTTCATGTATTTTAAAAATCAGGCTTTACCCAGGAGAGCAATAACCGTATTCTTTTTCAGCTTCTACAAAGGTTTAGTGTAATTTATTTTATCTAGTTTCAATCTCCAATTGAAGAGTAAGAATCAAAGTTTTTGAGGCTGCTTTAAGTCAAAAGAATTTGGAAAGCACAAAGCCTGAATGATTTTTTTGTCACTGGCAGAGGCACAAAAAATGTTCACTGGAAACACACAAAGTGCCTCTTAAATATGACCAATGGAAAGGTAATCTGCAATGAAACTCTTAAAGTTTCATACGTTGTAGTGTAGATATGAAAATGAGATGCTTTAAAAAGCCCTCACAGCCGGTGTTCAGGGACCCGCGGACATTTCTTTCCATTTAATGTAAGTATATTCATAATCAATCATTTATACTTAGTTTGTTACACCATGAAAGAAAATGACAAAAAATAATTTCATGCAGAATCCCCCCAGCAGCAACCTTGCTTACTTCTTAAATGGTGAATGAATCAAACACTCGCAGAGTATAATGATGTAAAATGCTGGAGGAAAAAGCTTGTTCACTCTAACAATGGAAACCAAAGTAGTAGTTATGGTTACGAAATGCAATTAGTCATATTGACTGGATTGAACAGTCTGGCTCGATTTATGCAAACAGGAGTTTGGGAGAACATTAAGAAGGCTGCCTGGATTGAAAAATGGTTTACAATCTGCGATTTGTACCCACAGGCAGTTTCAGAAAAATAACCTAATTTTCTAATTGTCTTTCTATCTATCTATCCATCTATCTATCTATCTATCTATCTATCTATCTATCTATCTATCTATC